TAGGAACGGTTTTGTGTAATCGATTCGCCGCGCGCACGGCAGTCGCGGACCACTTGCCTCGTTGTTACAATTCTAGCGTTCTTCATACAGCTCAAACGATGTGCTATTATTATTTTTGGCATGATTCTAATGTTAGTTATATTGTTCCTCTATTCCCTACTTGCTGCTGCATTCTGCTACATTCCTTCGCGCGCGGCGCCCCTTTCGCCGCAACGCGACAATTTCGATCCTACTGCACCACACCCCAGGGTCACCTTATAGGCACCAATTTCGTGTGATCAGACCCTAATATCACTGTACTACAAGTCCAAAGCATCGAAACGCCGCTATAATCCTGGATGAACGCGACACCCTGCAGTCAAATTAGTTTTTCCCGAAACAGCTCGAACACAACCTAATAGCGCAGGGACAACGGAGAACTGTTATAACGAGGCAAATGGTCCGCGACAGCCGCGTGCGGCGCATCGCTTGCATAAAACCGTTCCTACTGCCCGTCTCCCACAATAAGATATAGTGCGCGGCAAGACAACTAGGAAACAAACCTTGCTCGATGTAAAGGGAATCGACATAGTATTACTGCAACAAATATCTATGGTGAAATCAAAAACTCAGGGTATTGTTTGGATAGGATGGACTTCAATACGGGCAGACATATTTCCAAAATCTCTACCGATCTCTATATCTTTCTACTTCACATATCGAACATCCAAAGGAAGAACAAACCCTCGAGAGACAACTGTCAACTTTCATGCAAACACCTTCCGCCCAGGCACTGCCTTCAAGCAGTAACTTTTAGATGATTTATGAGGCCCTCGTAAACGAAAGGCAATATTCAAAAAATTATTCAAACTCCGATTCAACCCGTAACGGTCATAGGATTGGTCATTAATCTGTTCCCAAAGAACTCTACGTAGGAGACATTGAGAAAAAAGAGGCGAGATTGGCTCTCTAGATAGAAAGAGTATAACGACGAATAAAAGAGAAAAAAGAAGAGAGAGGTAGTAAGGGGTTCGAGTCCCGTCCGAGGTCAAAGCTTTGCCCTCGAATCGCCAACCTTTTGAGGCGATATAACAGCAGTTGATAAATTATTGAAACAAAACAGGGAAAAGGTGATCCAAAGGTTGGAGGTAAGAGTTACGGCACACAATATGTGACTATGATGTATGTTTAATGGGTGACGTATAGGACCTGGTGAGACGTCTGTCGGTGCTGTCATTGACATCATGACGAGGCTGTCAAGAGTTCCCTTGAACATGCTCCAAGAAAACAGAGTACTAGAACTTTCCGAGAGTCACTGGGTCCAGAACTTAAAAGAATTCAATTACACGAGCGAAAGTTTTGGTCGTGAGCTGAATCGGACAAAATGAGGTGCGAAAGGGTTAGAAGAGCGGTTGAATACGACCAGGTCAGTAGTGCTTTACGTGAGGTGAGGAGCGGGCGCATATTTGTTCAACTCGATCGCTCTCACCGCTCGGGCGGGAGGTCTTTCCGCTACCGGCTCACGTCATCATCGCACGGCTGGCGGCTCTTCACCAACCAGCCTACAATTAGCTCTCCGCATCCCTTTTCTTCCGCTTTTCCTCACGAATAACTGGCTGAAAAAATACAATAGAGCCTGGGATCCTAAAAATACGTCCCCCTTCTTGTCGCCACTTCAGTGACTTCTCTGAATGCAGCTCCTTTCTCTTACACAGGATAGGAAGCTGGTACATTGGCTTGGAATCGAAAAATGGAAAAGTTTACCGTTCGAGAGTTGGCTAATTGAACTCTTTGGGCAGTACATCCTTCACTAAGGGCTCTAAGTACACTCATATCTCTAAAAAGGTTGAATACACAGTCTGCACTCAGAAAAAACCAAATAAAAGTAGCAATGAAGTTTGTCACTCAGCTTACAGAACGCACATGGATTTAGTCACTTGAAAAGTCGTATGTAAGAGGTGGTAAACAGAAAAAATGTTCAGCAGAAAAAAAAAATGTACGACGAGACATACTGTAACGCGTAAAAAGTAGAAAGAGTAGCTATCTCTACCACCGCCACAAGCATCGATAGTAGGACACAATTCGAATATGTAAGGAACGAGAATTCAGCACGAAAACCCCATTCCTACCGTAACCCGGCGAGGGTCCTTCCCCGAATGAATGGTCGTGACGCAACGCAGAGCAGCAGCCAACTCTAATTGCCCAGTGGCTCTTCTCCACTTGTCGTATATGTGACAGATTAACATTTGTGGCTGGAAAAAAAGTTATGTCACGGATTGAAATGTATTGTCTGTAAAATTCTGCGTCCATTGCATTTAATCCCACCATAAGGCCACTGTAGGAATCGGATGCCGATCCGAATACTCAATCAAACACTTTCTTCAGCTTATTTTATGTAAACGGTGGTATTTTGGAGCCAGTTCCAAACGTGATATGAAGGAGGTTGGAAAGCCAGTGGGGAAATGCTACAGGGAATTAACAAAATGGAAAATGACGTTTCCAGCCGCTGAGCTACAGAATACAGCCACTCTAATTCTGGAGTAGCTTACTTGCATACGGAACTATCAGCTACGAAGGCAAAGAGGGCCATCCGAGTTGTCAGTAGCAAACGTTCTGAACAGCAAATACAGTGAGTAGACGGAAGGAAAAGTGTAGTAGCCACAGTGCTGCACTCAGGTTGCTTCAAGGTCAAGCAAAAAGACTTATAACAGAGTTGACGCCCTCGTAGAATGTTCTAGAAAAAGTCGACGATATGACGCATAAACGGGAGTCCGTTGAGCAAATACACACAGAGCACTGATCTATGTCCTTTCTAATCGGAGGCCATTCCAAGAGCTCCAAGAGAAGTCACTAGGAAGATGTAGGCGAACTATAAAGAAGTTGAGAAAGCAGCAGCCTCGCAACCGAACCGAGAAATGGTGTTGAAATCAAATGGAATTGAAGCCGATCGTTTCCAACGAAGAAATCAATAGAAAATGTTTCTCTGATATGCATCATCGCCGTAGGACGTCAGAAAAATCAATGTCAAGACGATGGGAAATTGACTGAAAACAGCCAAGCTCCAAGCTCACCTGCAGAAGTCATTCGAAAAAATGGTATTAGGAAAAACTGACCTCATTGGAAAACGTTTTGAGCTCTTCAGAAACCGAACAGCCCTTCAGTCTGAAGATCCGTAGAAAGCTTAATCAGTGAAATAATGCTCCACCCTTACAACTGTAAATATCTGTACGTAGGCAGCTTCAAACAATCAAACAACAACAATCAGTAACGCAGTAACCAGAGGGCCCTAAGCGCTTGCATAGCTCATGAGATCAAATCTCAACTAAGCTAAGCAGGCATTTTATCTCTCCGAGTCTGTTTGGTGGACTTTGGCCTCGTCCGAGAGAACAAAAAACTGTTCATCGCATGGGATCGCCGATGAGCAAAAGCGCGCTAAAATGCATCAGCAATANTAGGCAGCTTCAAACAATCAAACAACAACAATCAGTAACGCAGTAACCAGAGGGCCCTAGGCGCTTGCATAGCTCATGAGACCAAATCTCAACTAAACTAAGCAAGCATTTTATCTCTCCGAGTCTGTTTGGTGGACTTTGGCCTCGTCCGAGAGAACAAAAAACTGTTCATCGCATGGGATCGCCGATGAGCAAAAGCGCGCTAAAATGCATCAGCAATACTGAATTAATATGTAATGAAACGTTAATGAGACGCCCTTAATTAGGCATTTGCCCCACCCTTCCTAGGTAGGGGCCGTTTCACGACAAGAGAAAACAAATCGTCAAAAATTAAAATGAATTTGAAGAAAACTCGTGCTCTTTGCAAGCGGTGAACTTGAAATTTGAAATTTTGATTATCTCTACACGAAAATTATTCGTGTGAAAGCTATGATTGTTGAAATTATTGGAATTCATATGAGAACTCACTTCCCGTGGTACTTCTGATATGAATTATCCGGCTCTGGCATTGTAGGATAAGCTCATCACTTTATTGAAACCAAAAACTAAAAATTTTGAAAATCGGATAACTCTTAATTGCAAAAAAGCCCTTTTTAAAATAGGGTTCTGCCGTAAAAGCAGCCACAATGGATCCGATTAGTCGAGAAAGCAAAACGTCTTAAACGCAACAGGCAGTGAGATTGCGAGTGAACCTTCCTTTTATTCTCCATCCTTCTCCAGCCCTCAAAAGGCATGCAGAAGAATGAAGGATAGGAGGTCAGTGAAGCTTTTCACAGAAGGGGAATAGTCATACCGACAAGGCCACCCTGAGCGCCACAGATCGAACGACGATTCTTCGAAAAAAATAGTCATCGTCTACCCGAAATTCTATTTTGGTCTATACCAAAAAAGACAGGCAAACAGTTTTTTTTTTACAACGGCAACGATTTATTACGAGTAAAAGAACAACTAATAAGAAACAAAAACAGAGTACGCCACAATCCTACAACGCAACCGGTCTCAAAATGAGAGAACACTATTGGGATCCAATGACAACACAAAAAAACACAAGAGCGAGCAAAAAAGAGAATGCAGTGAACATGGCCAAAGCATGTGATAACAATGCACGCAAAAACGGCGGCTAGGGTGAGGGATAGACAGTTTGGATGTCCAAAAGTAAACTTCGGGAAATGGCCGGTGAAAAAGGCAAACGTATCGACAAAAATCAGCAACAATTTCACTTGAAAGCGGAACGGTAACGGAATAATGACGTTGGTCACCTAAACCGTTCCAGAGCTCATCCCGTAGAACTTAGTCTTGCCTTCGAACACGCCTCTTCGTGACAGTTGGCGACTTCTTAGCACCCGATGGTCCAGCTTCGTCTGCTTCAACGTTTACAATATCTGGTTCGCTGTTACTGCCCTCAAGATCCTGAAGCTCAATATTAGAACGAGTTTCCGCCATACAATCTGTCGAGTTCTACCTCCAACTCTACAACTTTTTCAGTTTCTTTTTCTGCCTTGGGTGTTCCATGTGGACTAGGCTTTCCTTCGGAGACACGCTCAGCCTGAAACAACGCCATTGCGACTCTTAAGATTGAGGAGCAATTCTTACCTCTTCCATCTCGGCTTCTTCCAGATCCTTTTCATCTTCTTCATCGTCAACCAAATTGGGCACCTGAAGATACGAGGATGCTAATAAGCAGAACTTGGTCAAAAACCCTTCACCTCGTCATCAATCTCAGGAGCGTCCGTCTTCTTTCTTTCAGCGGCATAATCAGCATTAGACTTGCGACCGAAGCAGCAAACACCAATGAGGATGATCGGAATAAGGATGCAAAGCACGTAGACTACCCACAACCAGGGACGCTCCTATGAAATCAGTCATATACTGGATATAAAAGTAAAAGCAATAAAAATTATATAATAATTAGTAAATAACTAGCAAAAGAAACATGCTCATGTGAATAAAAAGTATAAATTCAATCGAGCAATAAATAATCGACGAATGATCAGTTTTGAACTCACATTTGCTGCATCTACAATACCCTGTACTATCCCAGCTCCTTTGCCTTGACTCGAAGCTAATCGTGCATCTTCTGCACGTCTCACAGTGTAGGTCTGCTTAGCGATCTCGGCTGCCAGATCTTCCGATTCGCACACCAAGATATTGTCTAAACAAAGATCTATTTTACTGATCAAAATGAAAAAACATTATGAGACATATGAGACCACGAGACTATTAAATAGCTCTCTCTGAACGTACCGAAGATGATATTTTGACTCATTGTCCATAATTCAATGCCTATAGCCGTGATTGTTGCAAGACCGTCGAATGGCTTCGGCTCGAAAAAATGAGGATTTTCTATTTGACGAGGAGCCCAAACTCCGCGATAGGCAGGATTAGCGATTTTCGGACGCACCCACTTGCCCTTAAATCAGTTCCATATCAGTTGTGGGACAACTTCAACAAGTCAAACTCAAAATACTTTCGAATAAAAACAAGTACCAGCAATACGAATGCATAAGACAATAGGAATGTTCGAACCTTGTAAAGCTAAGGTTTTTAATACTTTTACACTGCAACGTATACGAATACTACTGAAAAGGCAGGTGCACTTCAAGAATGAAACCGTTTGTGAAAAAGTGATACAAGTTAGCCTGGCTTCCTGATGGAATTTTTGCAAAAAAAAGCACAAAACACCAAGAGCTGAATTAAAACAAAATATGCAGGAGCGCTGAGGCAGTCTGCAAATGTTAAGGGTCCCTCACTACAAAAGGATATCGAAAAGAAAGAACATTAGTTGAGCAACACACTTCATTCTCGAGCCAATCTGAAGGCTTTACGGCGTTTTCATCGACGACTTCGCTAGGCTGGCTCTCATCCCAATCATCTGGCTTGACAGCGCTTTCATCTTCGATTTCCGCCCTATAAAGAAGTTCCAACACTCAGAACAGTATAAGAGAACTGCCATTAATCAAGAGAAATGTAATAATCGTTAACCTGTCATCCCAATCAGCTGGTTTTTTATCGGTAGGGTCAGCGATTTGCTTTGGAGGTTGCAACGATGGTTGAAGGTCCTTGAAAAAAAAAGGCTCGCTCAATAAGAAAATTAACAAAGAAAAAAGACAAAACGATACTTACGTTCAGCATGTTTCCTGACATGATTTCTTTCTGATCGACTGAAACCGAGAATTTTCCATCTGGTTTAACAACCAAGGTATAGAGATGTGTTTGGTGATCATCCCAATAGGTAGAACCGATGTTAGACGGTTGTTTGGCATGATATTCCTGAATACAGGCAGTGCAGCTAGTATCTACAGTAACAATCAAAAGAATAAACTAACGTCAATAGAATTGTTCTTTGGATTTTTGTACCGGAATATAAGGTGAACTTTGCCAGTAGCACCACACTTATCCGGACCGAACATAATAGTGTACGGAGTTTTGTCCTGAAACATAACGACGTGTTTCAAGTATTATTATGTGAGAGGGGACCACCAATTAACTTACCTGTACTGCAGCGAGATTCTTTTCGGCACCTACGCTGAGCAGTTTCAGGTATCCTCCACCACACTCTTGGCCTTCTTCATAACGAACCTCATATCTAAAGCAAAGCGAAAAACTACGAAAACTAGAGAGTAGAAGAACCCAGTAAAAACACATTTTGGGAAATCTGTGTAGAAGGAAGCGATATCCAAATCAGTTCTCGACATCGCCTTCGCGTAAAGCAGTTAAATACAACGAACTTTCTTTTCCGGTTCAACAGGCTAATTACAGTCATGAAGAAATAGTTTTCTACCTGAGAACACAAAAAGAAAGCCATTCTCTACGTTTCCTAACTATTTTCATAACAAGTCTGACATGCATGAAGTTCCTTTTCAAGCCAAAGTGATATTCAAGCCTTTGACATGGAAAAGTGTTCGATCCCAGGAGCCCTTTATACTTCCAAATCAAGAACTTTCTAAACCTCCAAGTGGGTGGTCTCAGCTTGATCTCGAGGTAAACTAACGACAAATCCACTCACTGAACAACCAATGGTTTATCAGCGAAACTGAAAGGCTCGTCCAATTTTGCAGCGATTGCATGATGTCGTGCTTTAGTGCGGACAATCAATCCGTAATCGCCTTCAATAGAAACCTCGGAAGATGGGCCTATTTCCCATTTACCTGAAAAATATCACATATTTCTATAATCCACAAGATTGATTTTAACGAGGAATCAAATGACCACAAACCATTGTATTTAGCTATTTCCGAATCGACACCTTCCTTTTTCGCAGTACTGGGGATCCATCGTTTGCCTATCTCATCTGTCGTTGGGAAGTAATCAAAGAACAACGGCTTCGACGATAACTTCGGTGGAACAAACGCAGACGGAACAAAAACGGTATCACTCTGTAAATGTTATCAGTAAGTTATTTACAATATCGAAAAACAGTAACAATATCAATACAGAGATTAATGACTCAAACGAAATTTCTTCAAAGAATTTGAGAGGTTTGGTGATATTTGACCACACCTACTCATATATGGATTTACCAAACTTGCATTTATTTTATCGCAACCTATTCTCCTGAAAACAGAAAAGCCAAACCAACTAAGAAATTTAGCACATTCAATGATCAACGGACAGTTCAAGATGATATATTTTATGGGAGACTGGCGGGATTAAGATTGAACCCAAGAAAAGTAACCCAAAGAAACTGCTAGTAATGACTAGAGCTTTCGAATAGTTTCACATATAGCCCATCGTAGACTCCTCGCAGGCATACTATTCAGAATTTTCAACTCTTGCTTTACGAAAATCTTCACTAAAGGCAACTTGACAAGTAAACATTCCAGAGCCATCTCAACACCTTCAACTTTTACGTCGTGCGCAAAAGAACTTACTCTTCTTGCTTGTACTTTGATCTTTTCAGCGCACAATCTTGCCAGTAACACAACTTGATCAAAGAATTTTCCAATCAGAAAAATGCATGTCTTTGGTTCCGTCAGAACATTGTAGCACATTAATCCACCCCTATTAGACCAATCAATTCCACTTAGTGGTCGCAAAAAGCATACTATCTATCGTACGATCGCCAGTACAGCAAGAAGAGCTCTTAGCAAATGTGATCATAGCCATCTAGATGAGTTTTTGATTTTGGCGAATACACAAAAAAAAAAGAGAAACGTTCGAAGGATACACTTAGGAGCATGTACCAGTAATACGAATGTTCCTATCGTTTTCTAAAAAAACTATAGTTCATTTTGATAGTTAATACTGCGAAGTTTTCTGGAAAAAGAATCCTACTTTATATAATTCGCTAAGTGTGTCTGTTGGTGTGTCGGTGTGTTTGTGTGTGTGTTTGTTTGTGTGTGTGTGTGTGTGTGTGTGTCGGTGTGTGTCTGACCGGAAATTCATAACTCCTGTCTCCGTGGACCTAGAGCGTTCAAATTTGGGAGGAGTAAGGGGGGCA